TTGCCATGAAACCTGAAAGAACTCGTCCAAGCAGTCACTGCAGAGTCGGTAACGACTGAGCGCAGATAAAAAAAAAAAAAACAGAGAGAGAGAGAGATGCCAGTTTAACAGGCAGGTTTCAGAAAAGGCAGAGGGACACAAGAGCAAATAGCTAACCTAAGATGGATAATGGAAAGAACAAGACAATATAAGAAAAAGATTTGCCTTTGCTTTATTCACTATAGCAATGATTTTATGCCAGAATTAGGAATTTATTAAGGCTAACAGGAATACCAGGACATCTGACTATTCTTTTGAGGAATCTTTAAAATGAATGAGAAGCTACTGTAAAAACATGGGGAAATAGAGTAGTTCAGAACAGAAAAGTGAACAAGAAGAGAAGAAACAGACAAAATAAGAGGTATGGATGGGTGAGATCCAAGAGATAATAGGATTGACCCTAGAAGAGCTAGAAAATATTGTCACAGAAGGCTGAATGGTGAACATTTGTCCATGCAGTGACCAATTTGATTCTAGGCATCTAGTTAGCTAACTACTTGTGTCATGTTCCAAAATTCAGTAATGCCACAATACCTACAAAGTGCTTTTCTCACAAAGTTATTATCTCTATAAATAAGGGAACATACTCCAAATATGCCAGAATATTATTATGAATAGTTTTAAGTCAATCAATGTGTTCCCAATATTCCTTTCTCAGAACTTTTTATTAAACTTTTGTAAACAATGCTTGCATTTATACTACACAGTGAGAAACAGATACTTATGTAAGGATTTTGGAGGATTTCTTCTCTGATTTGCTTAACTGCCTGCAACCGTAGCATCCATCAGTGGCAAGCAACAAACACAACCATACACCCATCATTTGGAAAGTCAAATGAATAAGAGTAGCCAAATGAGATTCATTCAGAATTAAAAATTCAGAAGTAGAAAAATAGAAAACATCATTCCTGTTAGCATATTAAACTAGATTAAATCTAACAAGTCAAAACATGAAAATGCACAAATTCACAGAAACTCCTGAAATCAATTGTTAGGCCAAAATTCTAGTTGTGTGAGCCTCAAGAGACTGTGCCCACAGTAACCTTCAAGAAAAAGATCAAAATATATGCCAAATCAGCTAAAAGAAAAATGAGCTCCAGCACACAATGACACTATATCATAGATGTGACAAAGCCAACCATAAGAAATGATGCAAAAAGTTTTCCCATTAACAACAGGCTGACCATTAAGCACACGGAATACAGAATACCAACATTAATCACATTGCACATATACCTGTAGAGGAGGAAGCAAAAAAACCCCAAACCTGCCAGACATGTACTTTTGTCAAAAGGAAGTATTTGGAATGAAAGTTGTACAGTGAATTAGATCTCATTTGAAACACACTGAATAAATGGGGCATGTTTTTGAAATGAATGGGACCTGAGTACTTGAAATGAACAAGACTTGTGCTCCTGAGTGGATCCAACCCAATAACTTTTATCATTGTTAATTTCAGAAAAATAGCTGAGGCCAAAATGCATGATCTTTTGTCTTGATGCAAACTTCAGAGCCCAGAATGAACAGCTTTCCGTGCAACTTGGCTATGCTAAATACAAAAAAGGTAAGACCACCTGTCACATAAATTGTTTTGTTTAGAAAATTAATATTAGATAACTGGCTTGCCCTATAGCTTTCTTTCAGACAGGTTATGATGTATTTCTATCTGTACATTTATTTATTTGTTCTGAGTGGAAGGGCGTTCAATTGTAAGACTCTCTATAGTCTGATGAGAATTAGGAAGCAGGTATGTCACGTAACACCAAGGCCTGAATGAGATTTCCCTATCTTTGGTTACACACTGTTATCAAGGATCACTGACTACAATACTGATAAAGTAACCCAAACATTCACTTTAATATCTTCCTGTATTTATTTAAAGATTATCTATCTCTACATAAAAAGCTAAAAATTGTAAAATTCAGTACCATCCACATCCCTGGCCTATATGTTTATATCTATCGATATATGAAAGCTGATTGTGAATCAGCAACTACTGTACTAAGTATAAGGCATTTCCAAGAATTGTTAGTTCTACTTATATAGCACAACTAATATAGGCTACAAGGCTAGTGTTGCATGGGTGATTGGCATAGATGAAGATTTTAATTATAAGTACATCCACTGTGGTAGTCATGAGAATTAAAACATAGTTTACTCAATTTGGGGGGGTTGCACAACATACAAAACCACAAATTATCCATGTAGGATAGCATCCATACATGCTAGTTAGTGGTTTAATGTATCATGTGATTCCAGCCTATGTAATTAATTTACAGTTCAGTGTATTGTGTGAACAAAGGCAGCTGGGTTAATTTAATAATACACGTTATCTGAACACAATGACATACTCTGCCAGGATCAAATGAAGGTTGACAGTCTTTTTCAGTTTGTCATTAATTATTCCAAAACACTCGTTTTCCCTACAGACAGCAACTGTATTCTGTCTCCAGTGCAGCCCTTGGCTGCACAGAGATCGGATGCAAAGTAAGGTCCCAACTAGCTTTCAGGAAGCCTGCCCCTCGCCAGCAGCAAACTCAAGCCAGCCGTGCAAAGAAGCAACGAATGAGGGCAGAAATCAACCCACAGCTTCACAGGCAGCAAAAGGGGACGCGATGAACGGCTGTAGGACCAAGGTGTGGCGTGCAGAAGACCACAGGAGGCGCCTGGGTTGCGTAAATTAAAACCAGACGTGCTAAATTAAACGGAAAACTCAATACAAAAGTAACACACATGCTTACGCACATACACGCTCCCATCAGAGGCAGCCACATATCGTTTTACCCACCGGCCGGGAGCTAGTCGAGAAAGGGACGAAACTATGGGAGGAGGGGACGCTCGCTCCCCTTATGCACCGATGCAAGACCGGAGCCTTCATGCCGCTTTGCGGAGGGTGGAAAAGCAGGCTAACCCATTAAGGTCACCGGCAGAGAAAAAGCGAGCGAAGGGAGCAGCCGGAGCTGACAGCCGGGAAAGGGAATGGAAAGGGTAGGGAGCGGAGATCCTGGGAGGACTGCAGCAAAGAGACGGCGGCGTGGAGGGGCTTTGCAGGAAGAAAGGAGGCTACCGCGCTCAGAGGAGGGGGCGGGGGAATCGTCGGAGCTCAAGAGCGAGTCAAGCCCATCTCACGAGGAGGTGGGATTGGGGGAAGAGAGCCCGACCTGCCACCGGCCGCCCGGCCTTGCTGCAGCATCAGGAGGTCCTGCGAAGCAGCACAAACCTGCAGTCCTCGCCGCCCCCGGCACTTCTGCCTCGCGGCTGGTCCCCGGCTGCGCTCCCGGAGCCTCGATCGCGCGGCCGCAGCCCCTTCTTCTCCTCCCGTTAAGCAGCGGCACCCACACTTTCCTTCGGCGCCAGCGAGCGGGGCAGCCGCCTCTGCTCTGCGGAGGCTGGGACGCCGCTCCGAGAAGGGCGTAAAGGAATCCTGTTATAGCGGCGCCGGGATGAAGCCTTGTGCTCAGAGTGCGGCAGAACCAGCTGCCTCTGCCTGTGTGAGTGTGTTCGAGTGTGCCTCGGTTGTGTGTGTGTGTCCGTGTGTGCTCCCAGCAGCCGCTACTTCCTGTGCAACGACAGTTCAGTTCCTCCCGAAGCAGGAGGCAGGGGGACGGGGCTGGCGGCTAAAGAAAGGGGTGGGGGGAGCATGGTGGCGGCAGCCTTGGCTCAGTCGAGCTAGCTCGGAGGGAACCGAGAGAGCTCCTGCCTTTGCAGGCCGGCTGGAAAAAAACCGGGTCCGGCTTAGAGGCGCCTCTCCGGCGCCAGCATCGTCCCTCCGCGTCACTCTTCTTTTCCCACTGGAGCTGCCCGCTTCTCCGGTTTGGAGCCCCGCAGAACGGGAAAGGCGCGACCGCCGCAGCCCTGTTCCCGCGTCCCGCTGTCAGGGATGGGGGAAGGAGCACCCCCGGCCGCTCGCGCGACAGCAGCAGCTCCTTCCCGGGCTCTCGGAATGCGGGAAGGAGGGAGCGGCGCGGCTGCAAGCGTTGGTACCTTCGGTCGGCATGGTTAATTTCACGTCATTTTCACATCACAGCCCAGTCCCGCTATTCCGTAGGCATCGCCCATTCATTCGAGGGAATGGACTAGAGCTGCCTTTCCGCCCTCTTAGTTAAGGTGAGGGTCAAGGAGAACATCTCAGTTAATAGGAGGTTTTCAGTACGTAGCACGCCTAGTTCTGTCTGGCTGCTGAAAATGAACTAGCGGAGGTAGGACTTTGGGTGCCCCGCTCAACTTCAGGTAGTCGCTCTATTGTTTGCACAGATACCCCTACGTGAATACCTGAAAGCATGAGAAACACCCCCCCCCCCATTTGTAATCTCTACCTACCATTTTTCCAAAGGTATTAAAGCTTATGAATATTTAGTGGTACATGCATATTAGTCACTTTATTTGTTTATTTATTTGATAGGTTTACATGCTGTTTTTAGGATAAATATTTTTAAGGTTGACACTGACTTGATGGCACATAGTTTATTTTCAGGGTAGGTCACAACTTTAAAAATAAAAACAAATGGAAGTACAGTGACCATTAAAATGGTATTAATACAGTGATTTAAGTTGGTAGCAATAAGAAGTATTCACAATTGGCTAAATCAAATCTTATAATATTGCATTATTATAATTTGTGACTTAGCAAGTGCAATATCAAATACTGGGCATTAATCAATAAGCCTTCATTAAATTAGCCTTGGTTTTGTATGATGTATAAAGCAGCCAATATTATAAGTTAACTGCTAGTGGCATAGTCGATCCCATTAACATGAGATCCTCCTTCAGGCCTCACTCTACTTGATAGTAGAGCTGACCCCTTGGTTTGGAGGTTGGTGTAAGACCATCAGCAGATTGTTAAATGAATCAGCATGGAAGGTGGAGGGATTGTGGCTCTTTCCTTGTTCTTCCCACTGTGCAGTTGGTGGAAGGTATGAATAGAGCTCTAGGCTTACTAGTCAGCAATCTTCCCAGTTGGCAATCCTTAGTTAGGATTGCTGTCTACACAAATGCATACATTTGTATATGCATAAGCTGCCATTCATATTACAGAATATGCAGGAATCAGAATTGTTGTGATGTCACTTGCTCCCTCCAAACATTCAGTGAATTGACCATGCAAATACTGTAAGGCATCTAATTTTACAAATAGCTACACTCTCCAAATAAATGTTTTTCTAGTGCCTCCATTTGGACAGGGCTGGAAAGAGCTCTCCGTATGAACTATGAATGTGTAGAGCTTCTACCCATGAGAACGTTAGCCCCATCAGGGATCCTCGTTGTAGAGGAGAAGGCTGTACATAGTGCCCATAAGAACTTGGTACATAAACGGGCATGGGTAACATCAAGATGTCTGAGGGGAATATGACAGCACTCTTCAAATACCTGAAGGAGATTCAGAAGAAGGTCAGGAGCTGCTCTCTATCATTCTTGAGTAAAGGGCACAGAGTAATGGATTTAAGTTACAATTCCAAATTTATGTAAGAGATGAGGGAAAAATCTCTGTAGCAGTAAGCGTGGTTTGGGAGTAGAACCATTTACCTAGGGAAGTGGGGGGCTTCCCCCACTGGATATGCTCAAGCAAGTGCCAGATTGCTATTTACCAGAACTACTTTAGGATTCCTATATTGAACAGAAGGTTGGATTCCATAACCAAAATGGCCTCTTCCAACTCTGTGATTCTGGTCAACCACCTATTAACCTATTATGCAGTCTCTATAGCTAGTTGATGGTTCAGCATGTAGTGCAAACCCAGGCAGTTACTTTAATTACCCAATTATGATTGTTAATTCATTTAGGTAATGTTACACAAACATGGAGCCTTTCTCTTTTGCATGTAATTGTAGTGCAAACGTGCCCTGGCAACTTTTTGTTCTTGTTGCTGCTGTGTCGTTATGTCTTTACCGTCATCGATCCCCAGCCTATAGTAGAGGTAGTCGTAAGTTTTCGTTGGCTCTCCTGATGTTAAAGTGATGTTTTCCCTGACATCTGATGTGCTTCAGCAACCCATTTGGTTGTGGCGGGGCGGGGGAGGGATCAGCCCAGCAGCTCTTGGCTACTGTAGGCTGGTAAAGATACTCTTCTGCTCTGTCTCTGAGCATGAGGCTTTGAAGAGTTGCTTCTCTGCATGCCTATCCGCAAGTAACCCTATGCATTTAATAGTATTTATTCCCAAACAAGTGTGGTTAGGAACATAGCTTTAGATGGACACATTTGTGTCCATATGCATACATTTGAAGAACAGCATGTGTAATTGCTGTAGAAATGAACATGCTGTAAAATAATTATATTTGTTCTCTGAGAAGGTGTTAAAATTAAATTTTGAATTCTAACAGATAATGACTCAATTCTGATTTGTCATACTGCACTGAGAAAGAATTTCCTGTTACTGCTTATAAGATCAGTATACCTTATTTCTCACCAGTAATATTTAGTCACATATGTGGGTCTAAAATGTATGTGATTTCCCAATTTATATGATCTGTCTGTGGGGGTGTTAGAACAGTTTTGATTGATTTCCTCTTATAATTAGCTTAAATGTTCAAGTATCTTATCAATGAACAATAATGACTAATATCGTTAAACATTCACTTCTATTTTGTAAGAAAGATGTCCTCATTTTATGTGCACTTGTTATGTAGATAAAATCTGTATAAAAGAATGATGCCATGTAACATTTCACCTATGTTAGGATTAGCCTCACTAATAAAACACAATCATGTCTAGGAAAATTTGAATAAACTTATAACCATGGATCTTATCAAAGACAATATCTAGTTCTAGGCTGAAAATGCCCTGCCTTACATTTTGTTCAAGAAAACTATTTTGCTCTGTTCTCTATTTTGTACCATGTCTTTAGGACAATTTTAGAATTACATTCGATGATTACTTTGTTAAGTCCTGGAGTCTTCATTTCTTCACTTGAGCCACGTTATGAAAGACAAACTTGGTCTCTTTAGCCAAAAGATCAACTCTGAATTTTTATTCATACCTAGGAAGCTCTGAATTGGTTTGTATTTCTTTGGTTGAAATTACACATTATTGGTGTTTGTTTATAACCCATCTAAAGGCAGAGTTCTAATGAGAAAAAGAAGACTGCTTAAGAGAAAGCTGACAGAATATTTAAAGAAGGCTAAGTATCCTGCTGGCTGTTAAAAAGCCTGACTTAAGAACTGAAGGAGCTCTGAGAACAGTGCAATCTCCCAGGCTCTGTAGGAGGGTGATCTGTCGTTCTGGCACCACAGAAGATTGTTGAGGAGATAATGATGATGACTCCTCTTTCCTTTTGCACCTACAGTATAAGGCTTAACCAGCTGAGGCAATATGTGTGCAATTTATTGTCAATTCCTCTACACCCTGTTCTGAAAAGGTTACTTAGCAATCTTTGTGGATTGCATTACTATATTGTAAATCACTTCCACCTGTGAGCCTTCTGTCTTGGGAAGAAGAGGTACTGTGCAGCTATTGGCCAGCTCCAGAGGTCCATCTGTTATCATTGTTGTGGTTTCTGGTAAGCTGAAGAGATGGAAATAGGTATACCTTTCTCTGTAACTCTCTTAGTATTTACTTAATAAACTTCTTTTTGGCATTTCACCCTGGTCTGCTGTCTCCCAGCTGGCTACCAGGTGCAGCTCCTCAGGTTCTTCTGGAAGTTGGCTTAGGGCTCTTCCAAAAGAACACTAAACCCATCTTCAAAAGAACTCTGACCAAGAGCTGACATGAGGGAGAGGGTGGCACAATACCACATGAAAGCACCCTCCCAATTCCCCTTGCAGCCCTTTCATAGTATTTGGCAGCTGTCTGGACCTGGACATCTGGAATAAGTTTGGATAAATGGCTAAGCCCAACAGGCTAGCCGCCTGTCAACATTTGCCTCCTCCCCAGTCCCAGCCCCAGCCCCAGAACCTTAAGGACAATGATTGGCAATGTTCTCCTACTGAGGAGATGGGAGAATATAATGCTTGGTGTGAGTGGAGAGAAACAAAAGCTTGAAGAATCAATCCCTTTTCTGGTTAGTGGTACACAGTCAACAAAAGTATCACCATTTAGCTCATCCCTCAGGACAGGGATCCACAATGGGGGTGGTAAATTTTACACTGGTATAGTTTTCTGCCAGATCAAGAATTAGTAGATAGCATAAACCTAGCTGTTCAGTACAGATAAAGTTTTGCTACTGGTGCATGTCGAAATCACATTGCTCCTCTTTTCTAAAGTATTTTATTCCACTTGATCTTTGTTATCTCTGCTGTCTCTGACTGACCTTTCTTTACGGGGCAATGTTTTGGCTGTTAGACCATTTCTCTTGCTAGCATTTGTAGGCAGTACAGAATGGAGAGCTTTCATCTAGCTGTAGGATTTGGTAAGAGGAGCTTACAGTGAAATAAAGAGAATTTGGAATTCTTAAGAACATTTTGTCAGCTTACTTTGCCTACACAGTGAGCTTTTGTATTTGACTAATTGTTAAATAAAAGTAGAAAAGGAAAGTGATAACACGGACATACAGATTAGCATAATAGTTGT